TACTGATTATGTGTCTACGGTGTGCGAATATGCAAGCATGTGTATAAATATTTATACTTACAACTCTTTGTGCATGTTAGGTGCAATTATGTAAAAGGACCTGTACTCGAATATCTGGGTTCATGTGTAATTGATGTACTTCTCTGCCTATGCGCTTCTTGACTGTCTCGGTGGAATTCTTACCGGTTAGCTCACTCATTAGAACCTGGACCTGCTAATACTCGACATGCATACATATAGGTACATACATACATATATAACTACATCTCTCTCTCTTTATATATATATATATATATATATATATATATATATATATATATATATATATATATATATATATATATATGTATATATATATATATATTAAATAAATATATATAAATATTAAATAAATATACAAAACACTCCATGTCGACAGTACCACTCGGATTTTCATCAAACTCCGAGTCGTACTGTCGGCGTGGGTTGTTATGTATATTTATTAATATATACTTAATAGCTCTCTTATCTGGTATTGAGCACTGTTTTATTTATATAATATATATATATATATATATATATATATATATATATATATATATATTCCGTATTTTTTGCTGCGTGTGTTTCCGGTCTTGCGACTTCTTCAGGCAAAGAGTGAATATTTCCGCATATTATTAAAAGGAATTAATTTTCCTTATGTTTTCCGATGTCTAATTTTGTGTATTTTTTGTGTAGTAGTAATACCAATATCTTTCTTGGACTGTGGAAAAAGTGTTTTTTCTGCTTAAGGGGTAATAAAACAATTAGGATTAGAAACATCGCAGTTGTAAGTGCCTTTTCCCCTGTAATGGCGTAAAACAAAATTGGTTATTACTCATATTTCCTCTTGAGGAAGAAGGATACAATAACTCTGTGGACGACGACATCAAAGATGAAGACATCTACCTCGCTGACAACATAGATGAAAGTGTCATGACAACGACCTTTGACACGGGCAACAGTGAATCAAACTAAAATGTGCTTCCTATTTATGCGAAACATTCTTTTAAACAAATGCAGTGTTTGGTTAGTGCTTTAATGTTTTTGTTGCACATTAGGTCGTCTGGACCACAGATAAATTACTTTCGACCATACCATCGCGAATAGGATGACACATGTGGCTGGGAGAAAGTTAATATTTAGTTCTTGTGTATAATATGCACGCCTAACTTTTCAGCTTAACAATCTAGAGAAAAAAAGAGCGAATAAATGCAAGCCAGGATTACGAATGCTGATTTTCAAGGCAGGTATACTCTTCACATGTGGAACATGGTTGTAACACGATATTATTTTTCTATTTCTCACACATTTCGTCTTATGTCGTATGAAGCACTCAGCTTAATAAATATTATGAACTTAAACCTGATTATATTCTGTCCCACTATCAGTCATCTCATCTCTGGAATGACAGAAACATCATGCGAGTGTATCTGTTTCTGTAAGCAAAACATAAATCCTTAAGAAGAATTATTTTCAGTAAATGAATGGTCGACAAGCTAAACTGATATCTTTTTAGTTGGCACATTTGTTTATTACATGTACAAATCTGAGTGCGTTTGAGCAAAGAAACTATCATGTGTAAAGACAGATGACTTTCACTATATTTGAAAATGTATGTTCGTATTGCGCTGTGTGGCGTAAATATAAGAGAATGCTTATTATGTTCGCGTTAATGTGTGTAGGTCTTTTTCCTGCAACTATATGTTTTCATGCAAATGTTTGATTGCGAGTGTGTATATGAATTAGTGTGGCAGTGTATTAATGTGGGGTTCCATATTACCATTTAAATACGCGAATAATGCGTTGATGTATGAGAGATTGTATCGTCGAATACAAAGAAGGGCTTAAACATATATGTATAAAGGCTTAAATATGTATGTATACAAATAAATATATCAATGTGTGCGTGTGTGTATGTGTGTGAGGGAGAGAGAGAGAGACTATTTAAATGTGTGCATATGGGGTTAAGTGCATGTGTATGTTTACGCTTATTAAGAAGGAATGGGAGAGAAGGAAGGAGCAACAAGGAACAAATCCTGTGTAACAACAACGTTGAACGTTTCCATTGCAGACTCGAATCCTAAGGGGGTCTGCTTTCTTCTAATGTGTTTTACAGATGGAAATACGCTTGCAGAAATCGTGACACACTCACCATCAGTCGACATCAACATCGCTAACGCCTCTGCCGCCATCGTCTTCGTGACTTCAAACAAGTTCTTTGACTTAAAGCGCAGTTTCACTTCCAAGTAACAACTACAACAGCAGACGCCATTTTTACAGTGTGCTCATTCGATAGTACATGTTTATATATCTTTCGGTCTGTGTGCATGGTTTGAAAGTCTTAAGAACAATGATAGATATTTATATATACAGCCACCCCTTACTTAACGATAAATATTTTTTTAAATCCAGCCATTCGGTATTGTCCATTGTACGTCAATTTTGATCATCATTATTCAGTCTTTCTTCAAAATGAACT